CTGCCCGCAGAGGGCTGGGCTGGCAGGTCTTTCGTGAGGAATGGACCGGCCGTCGGGGGGTGCACAAAAAGCCCAGAGGTGAAGGTGTCAGCCACCGGGCCAGTCCCCACAGCTGACCACTGACTGCTAGAAGCAGCAGGACAAGCAGGAGGCATCATCCGCTCTCCCCGTCAGCAAGCAGCCTTTGAGTCCAGCCACACCGCACCAGCCTGCAGCCCCGCCTGGATTTACAGGGCAGGCGTCAAGTGTAGCTGGCCGGCGGGCCTGGTTCGGGACAGGAGGGAGCCCGCGGCCTCCTACCAGGCTCCTGCCTGCTTGGTGGCCAGCGCTCCCACTGGGCCGAGCCGGGACGAGGATGGAGACGGCGGGGAGATGTATTTTTCTGACTGGAAAAAAGGAGGGAGAAAGGGATTTCTCTCGGGAGCGCAGAACCCCACGCCGAGCTGGGGGCTGTGTCTAGGGCTTCCGTTTGGTTTTAATGCCCTTAAGTGGGCTAAAAGAAAGCAGGTCACCCAGCCCACCTTCCAGCACACACAGATGTACAGTGGGTCAAAGATACAAACGGGACAACATTTCCTTGGAAATATTTTAGGAGAAAATGTTAGAATTCTTTATCACCTCAGGGTGGGGACAGTTTATAAAGAGGGGACCATGAGCACAGGATATAAAGGAAGATTTATACATTCGACTTGGAACTAAAGACTTGGCTTTGTCAAAGGATATTTAAGATATTTGATATCTGAAAACAAGGCCATGGCCTGGAATCTTTTTTTTTTTTTTAAAGATTTATTTATTTATTTATACAAGCACCGGGTTCAGTCAGAAGCGCGGGAGGGTGAGAGGACTCCCCAGAGCCAGAGCGGGGAGCAGAGCAGGCAGAAGGACCGAAGGACACTGCTGAGGGGAGCAGCGGGCGGCAGGAGAGGTCTGCGCGCCGTGCGGGATCCTCCTCCGGTGGCCGGGGATCAAACGGGCGCTGCAGAGCCTGTGGGCAGCCTCGCAACCCAGCACCCAACTGCTGCGCCACCGGGGAGGCCCTGGCCTGGAATCTTTAAAAAAAAAATAAAAAAGACCAGCATTCACCCAGGGTGCAGAGCACACACACGCCCATCTTAAATGTGCACCTGGGGGGGGGTCTTACCTGCACACACCCCATAATAAACAGTGGAACCCCCCACTGTTCCATCATGCCCCCTCCCACTGTGTGCACCCCTTCTCGAGCTAACCACTTCCTAGATAACTGTTATTACCGCTCTCCTCAGGTTTGTTTGCCCTTCGAGAACTCCGTGGAACCTCATGGAGGCACCTGGCTTCTTTCACTCGGTACCAGCGCCAGGCCCCTTGCAGGTCACGCAGCGTGGGGCTGCTTCCTGCGGGTGGGATTCCGAGGCCTGAATGTACTGTGGGCCTCTCTCCACTCACCTGCTGATGAGCCTCTGGGGAGCAGCAGCTCAGAGACGTGAGGACAGCAGGGGGCTGCGGTGTCCCTGGCGTGGGGCGGGCGCTATGTGGGCAGCTGGGCACGGCGGTGAGGGAGGCGCGGCACACCGGGACCCAGCAGCTCCGCTCCCAGGAAACTGTTGGGGAAATGCCTGCAGGTGGAAAGAGGTGACGCGGGAAATGCCCACGGTGGGGGGCTCACAGCCACAGAATCCGAATTGCGCCTTCCCTGCCCACCGCCAGGACGGGAGCGGGCGGCCAGAGCGGGTGGAACGCTGGCTCTGAGCAGCAGGAAGTGAAGCGGCCACTTGCCGTATTGGACACGAGCAGTGCCGGGGGCGGAGCGCGGTTCTCCACGAGCCCGCACGGCGCCCTTAGGAAGCGGACACGTGCAGCGCGCCCAGGTGCGCACGCCTTTCCCGTGGAGAAACACCTGTGGCACCCCCCTCGGGTGGGGGCCTGCGGGGTGGGGGCGGCGGGTGCTCCGGTCATACATGAACAGGGTCATTTTATTCTTCGAAACACGCCGATCCTTGAACGAGGCCAGGGCGGCATCTGCCGGGCCGGCGGGGGCCGCGGGTGGGGGCCGGCCCGGGGAGAGCGGTCTGTGTCTCGGCCTGCTGCTGTGCGTAAACCACCACCTCCCCCAACGTGGCTGGTCTCCATGGTGTCACGCCGGCCACTCCCACGGACCCCAGAGCGGGACAGCGGCCTCGAGGCCCCCCCAGGCTGCTGCGGCCCCTGGGTAAGCTTCCCCTGCGGCGCGCAGTGCCTGCGGGTGGCCGGCCTGGATTCGCGGAGTGCAGTTAAGTTACTCCCCCTCGACCAAGCACCCTGAAACAACCAGCTTTTATTCTCTCACGCAGTTCTGAGCTGCAGATCGGAGAGTGACTCAGCGGGCGGCGCTGGCGGGGATGCCCCGGGCTGTGGTCCAGCTCGCAGGCAGCGCTGCGGGCACTGGGAGTGGTGCCGGGGTGGGGGGCCGGCTGGGACTCGCCCCAGCGGTTGCCGCAGAGCCTGGGCCCCTCGCTGCAGGGACTCCCCAGGGTGCTGGCTTTCTCCAGAGCCGGGAACTGGAGAGAGAAACAGAGATGGGTGCGGTGACCTCGGGAAAGATGGCAGCCGCCCGCGGCCTGCAGGTGTGGGTGCCAGGACTGGGTCAGGGCCGCCCTACAGCGCCCTGGACTCCCGGGTTCCCGAAGCGCCCCTGCTCATTGCTTGCCCGCAGCTGCCCCCACGTACTGTGCAGCGACCGCTCGGCTCGCCGGGCTCAGCCCCCGCTGGCCGCTCAGGCCCCACCACACTGGAGTCTGGGGGTGCGGTCAGCGCCGGGGGGTGGGGGGGGGGGGCTCTCTGAGCGGGAAAAACACCGCCCCCAACTGGAAGGAGGCCCAAGGCGGGGAGATGCGGCCCTTCTTCACCTGGATGCTGCCAGCCCGGGTTGTTCAAGCGCGGACAGCCCAGCAGGGCGCGTGGGGATTCCTGCGCGTTCCCAGTGAGCAGACTGGAAGGGGTGGCAATCGTCCCCAGGCCTGCGCCCACAGCCTGGGAGGCTCCTGGACAGAGAAACTGCCCTTTCGGAGCGTTGCCAGCCTCCGGGCCCCGTGCCACAGACACCGCGGGCATCTCCATTCAGTGGCCCCCGGGGGCAGATCTGACCCCAGGAGAAGTGACCAGCGAGATGGGGGCCCCGGGTGCCCCCGCCCTCAGCACCCCCTGGGGCCAGCAGCAGGGCTCAGGGGCTCCCTAGCACCCTCTGCAGAAAGGCGGGAAGGATGGGGGGTCCCCTCACCAGCAGCTTCCTCTCAGGGGACAGGTCAGTGGGACAGCGACAGGGAGACAAGGGGCGAGAGCAGCACCGCCCAGGAGCAGGCCCTTGGGGTCCCTGCTTCCCCCCGCCCCCCCGGGCCACTTGACCCCCACTTCTGTGCCTGTCCGAGGCTCACCTCTCAGGACGCTCCTGGGAGACCGGCCCAGGCAGCCGGCCAGGAAAGGAAGCCCCTCCTCCTGAGGACCCGGCTGCTGATGCTGGGCCCAGCCCCGGGGCCTGCAGTGCCCAGGCTGGTGGGGTGAGGGGTGAGGGGCCTGCCAGTGACTCGCTGGTCCTGGTGGGCCGACAGCTTCGTCTGCCAGGGCCTCAGTCAACGCTGAGCCACAGACCTGGAGCCCTGGAAGAGTCTGGCTGAGGGCTGGGCCTGGCTGCCTGTCCCCCCACCCCCACCCCCCAGGTCCACTCCCCTTGACCACCTTTCTTTCCTCCAGGGCGGAGCCATCCAGCCGCTCCTCCAGCAACTCCTGAGCTTCAGGCTTGTGCTCCCTGACCTCACGCGCTCCTGCTCCCGCCTCGCCCCGCCAGCCCGCTCGGCCGTGTTCTGGGCAGCCACACCCCACCCCGGGCCACGTCCAGACCCCAGCGCAGGGCCGTGCAGAGGTGACGGCTCTCAGGGGTTCGAGCTCTGTGTCCCTCCGAAAGGCGCCGGGAGCGAGCCCGCCTGTGCGCTGCCCTGGCCTGGCTGCCGAGCACAGGCGGGTCGGAGATTCTCGGTGCTCAACAACCCCGTCTCGCAGGCCGTGGGCAGCGCCAGGCAGGCAGAGCAGGAGCCCACCCCTCCGGCGCAGATCGGGACCTGCAGCGACGCACAGAACTCAGTGAGGCCTTGGGGCCGGCTCCCGACAGCAGCTGCCCCGGGCCACTGAGCAGGGCCCCGGGCGGGCACAGGGTGGCCCTTGGTCTGCCTTTGTTCTCCCCGCCCCCCACCCCCACCTGGTGCCCTGAGCACACCCCGCTGGGCTGGGAGGGACAGAACCCCGTCCTGGCCCCAGAGGGTCGTCCGAGGCACCGGAACAGAACAGACGGCCCCCAGCGCGTTGTCACCCAGGCAAGCCCAGGGAGTAGCCTGGACAAAACCAAGACTGGGGGACACTGTGAGCTGCGGCCCCCGCGAGGGGTCCTGGCACCTGTGGGCCCAGCAAGACTGAGGAGGCAGGCGGGATAAACTGCTGCGCAGACGCCCGCGCCCGCGCCCTGACTCACCTGCTGCTGCGGAGGAGCTTGTGCCAACACGGCGCCTTAGACATGCTCAGCCTCGTCCCCGCTGGGTGAACCCGAGAGCCTTGCTGCCACCGAGGAGGCCCCTCCCATGTTAAGAGGGAAGGGGAAGGGTGCAACAGCATGGGCCACTGGGCCTGGCTGGAAATGCAGAGTCCCAGGCACAGGCCTAACTGATGGGATCTGTGTGTCAGGATTGTCCCCAGGGCATCGGGGGCTCCCCACAGTCGGAGAAGCTCTGCTCTTCCCTCCTGCTCCTCAGCTCCGAGGCTGGTTACCGCACCTCTCCAGCCGGGTGGGGCTCTGGGCCCTGCATCCAGACGGCCTAGGAGAAGCCACAGGCCACCAGCCCGGGAGAGGCCCTGCCTCCACCAGGCTCGTGAACAGGACTGGGGGGCTCTTCCGGCTGGACACCCCATCCCCACGCTTGGGGACCGCTGGAGTCAGTCCCAGCTCCCCCAGAAAGTCGGTGGTGATCATTCACGAGGTCAGTGGTCACTTTGAGTAGCCCTCCCCCAGCCCACTCCCGACAGAACCGGAGGGAGGACAGGTGCGCCAGAATCGGGGAGAAGGCCTTTTATTGAGGTTTTGCTCCATCACCAGCTACACGGAGCCATCGGGGCGGGAGGGAGCAGTGGTCGCCTCCCTCTCTAGGAAATGAGGGGGCGGGGGGCGGGGATGAGGGATGCCATGTGCAGAGGAGTCTGATGACAGGGAGGGACTCAGGCTAACAGCCCGATGTCCTGGGGAGGGCCGGGGCACACAGGGCGCGTGCTGGGCCTCACTGGGTCAGCGCCTGTACCACGTCCTTCACCAACATGGTGCCGATCACCATCTTCTCGCTGTTGACAGTCAGCTGGGCCGCACCGGCGGGCCGTGCATCGAGGGTCAGCAGCACCAGGCTGCCACTGGTCAGTGTCCTCCCTGCAAACCTGAGAGGGGAGAGGAAGGGCTCGGGCCTGGGTCCGGGCCCCCGAGAGCCCCTCCCAGCCAAGTCCCGCAGGGCCTCGCACCTGTACTCATCGGCCGCCCCGCTGGGGACACGGCCCAGGTTGGCGGTGGCGGTCACTTTCAGCACCACGGCGTGGTCGCCCCGGCAGGCGTCCGGCAGCGTGAGCTTCTCCGTGATCTCGTTCATGCCGGTCAGCTTGCCTAGGGCAGAGGTCACAGTGAGGGCAGAGGTGGCGTGGGGGCCACGAGCCCCCGCCCCAAGGCCCCAGCTGGGCAGCTTGGAATCCCCGCAGTGTCCTGGGGAGGGCCCCGTGGCTCTCGGACCCAGCCCGCCCTCAGGAGGCCTCTGCCAGCCTCCGTCTTCCCCCGCTGGTCACTGGTTGACCTAAGACTGATTTGTCAACCAGCTGCACCAGCACCGCCTGGGGGCCCAAGCGGCCTTTGGTCTGGCCTGGGCGGTCTTCCCACCACCTCCCTCGAAGCTCCTGGAGCGGAGTCCTCGCAGAGATCGCTGATGGCGCGGCCACTTCTGGCCAAAGTGCAGGTCCTCCCCAGCCAGGCCAGAGACCACACTCGGCCCTCAGCCTTGACGCCTAATCCGCCCGCAAGTGGCAGGGCTCCTGAGGCCCCTGGCGCCCACAGCCCCCCAGATCCCCTAGCCCTGCAGCACGGACCCCTCCACCTGCTCACTTGCTCTGGGCCAGCATGTGAGCCCCTCACAGCCCCCCCGCCCCTCGCCCCATCCCCCTGGGCACTGCCGACCCTCCTCTGTTGCCACCACCCTCCATTCCCAGCCAGGGCATTTCTGCCAGCGCCGGAGTCTCTCCCCACGCCAGTCCTCACTGGAAGCGAGAGCCGCCTCGGGCCTGCGCCCCTTCTCCCCATTCACAGCCAGTCCTCCCTGGAGGACTCTGCTCCCTCGAGCCCTGGTCTCCTTCAACCCACAGTAGGTGGCCTCAGCGCCCCCTTCACCAAGTCTGATGCCAGCGGCAGCCCCTTCCCACCAAACCTGACGCTCATCCTGGCCCGCGGACGGCTCATCCGCCCTCCTCCGTCTCTGGGCTTTGCCCGTTTTTGTGCCTTCTCTTGTCCTCCCTCCTCTCCCCCCTCGGGACACCAGGTTTTCCTCCAGGAAGGCCCCTGCATCTCTCGTCCCTGCCCGCTCTCCAGGGTGGCCTCACTCGCATGCGCCCGCAATCGCCACCTCGAGGCTCGTGACTCCAGCCTGCAAGCGTCTCCTGGGCACAGACCTACATTGTCAGCTGCACGCGGGGCACCCCTGACTTTCCCAGACGCGCCGCAACGCCTGCTTCTCCCAAGCCAGCCTGGGCCGCTCTGCTCCCGCCCAACCCTCCTTCTCTGCCCCAGACCAAGGGCCGAGCCCAGCCCACCACCTGCCCGGCCCTCCAGGTTTCTCTACTTTTAAGTGTTGGGGGAAAACAACAGAAGATGATCAGCATTGCATGAGGTGAAAATGACATGAAATTCAACCTCAGGTGTCCGAGAATAAAATCATAGTGGAACCCGGCCACACCCGTTCCTCCTGAGCATCGCCTTGCATTTGCCACGAACCTCCCTCAGCAGCACCCGTGGCTGTTTTTATACAACAGCGGGGTTGAGCTATCGCCACAGATACTTCGTGGCCCAAGCCTTAAACATGTGCTCAAGGCCCATTCCAGGAGAGGGCCGTGGCCTGGCCCCGGCGGAGGGCACGGCCACTCACAGCGACCTGCCCGCTGGAACCCCAGCGCCAGTTCCTGCCCTTCCCCGCCGCCTCCTCAGGGCAGCTGCCAGGCGACCCTCTTCCTCGAGCCCCACCCCAGCCTCTCCTTCCCGGCGCCGCCGCAGCGCTCATCCTGGTCTCCCCGCTGGGACTCGGCCGCAGAAATCAGGCCGAGGTCAACACCCAGTGAGCAGCAGGGCCAGGACGCACGGCCGGGACTCCCGGAGCCCTCTCTTCTCCACTCGGCTGCCCCTGTCCCGGCAGCAAGTACCCCAGTGCCAACCCTAGCTGGGGGTGCTGCTTTCCTCTCCCTGAAGCAGAGGTCTGAACCTGGCCCCTGCCCCCTCAAAGCCGCAGGGTCGCCTGCGCTGCTAGGAAAATGAAGTCACCGTCCCCTCTCAGTGATACCCCGTCACCTCTGCGGCCCCTTCGGGACTGGACTCCTTAGCATGGCATTCAAGGCTTCCAGAAACCTTATTTTCAGCTTCGTTCTCATCGCCCCCTTGAGCTAACTAGATTTCCAAGCGCAGAACCAAAGCGCTCCTCCCGTCCCTGTAAACTCCCACCGACACCTGCTGTGACAGTCCCCCGAGCTGCGACGGCCTGTACCTCTGCCTGGCTGCGTGTCAGCTCTCGCCAAAGCTTCCCTGAAGGGTCAGCTTCCGAGAAACCGTGAAGTCTCCCTGCCTGAAGTTGCGGAGGCTCCTCCGGCATCACCGGAGCCCAGGGCAGGCGCTGAGCCCCTTCTGCCCACCGCCCCCGCCGCCAGCACTTACCCTGCTCCTTCTTGAACTCGTTCTCACTCAGGAACACGGGGGCCATGAGCTCCCCGACGGGCGGCTGAATGGAGACGTAGAACTGTCGGGTCTGGGTGCTGGGAAGGGTCGGGAGGCAGAGGGGCAGGAAGTGAGGCCAGAGTCTCTCCCCAACTTTGTCTGGAGATGGGGCTCAAAGACCAGAGGGCTGGAATGGCATTCCCCTCGCCCACCACCTCCAGCTCCGGGAATCGCCTTGGCCCTGCCTTGCCCGAGCCCCCTCCCACCCCACCCCGTAGCCGCATACCACAGCTGGAAGTTGGCCGCCTGGGTGGAGTCACAGAAATTAATGCCCATCACAGCAGTGGCAGATTCTCCAGGTGCCAGGGACTCTGCATGGTGTGAGGTGGGGGACGGGGGAGAGGTACCATCACCGGGCAGGTCTGGAACCCAGGCCCATTCTCCAACCCACTGCCAGCTGTGCGCTGCGGGCCCTGAGGCCCACTCCTGGTTTCCCCCCAAATCTAAACTCCCTCCCCCTCCCACTGTTGAAGTCGGTTCTGAAACAACCAAGGCCTGTACCTTCCGCCTCGGCACCTCCTGCCCTGACGGGGACTCACTCATGTGCCAGTCTACCTTGTCTGCCGGGGCCTGGGTCACACGGGATGCCATCTCTGGGCCCCCCGTCCAGTCCCCGGCCTGAGGCCACGAAGGCATCCGCAACCCTTTGCCCAGGGTCCTCCCTCCCCACCCTTCCAAGGCTCTTCCGCACCGATTTCAGGAAATTCCTGGATGCTGATGCCAGCAGGCAGCTTGGGGGTGCCCAAGTGCAGGCCCTTGACGGGGTTATCCGAGCTGTTGGAGAAGTGGAGGAGCACAGACACCATGTGCGGGTCCCCGGGGAACGGCTGGCGGCTGAAGGTGTAGTCCACGGCCAGCCCCTCACCAGCCACGCGGTGCAGCAGCTCCTGCCTCCCAACTCCCGAGGCTGGACTCAGCGGCTAGACAGGAGGCGGGAGGAAGTGTGGGTGTAGACAAGGGGAGAGCCTGACTCAGCCGCTGGGGCACCCAGCAAGGGGGACTCAAAGCTGTCTCCTCCACGCCCCACCCCGCAAATCCACACCACGGGAGGCCGCGGACATGCGTTCTTGCCCCAGCCCAGCCCCGCCCCTCCCCAGCCACTCACCGAGGGCACCAAGGGGGAGTCTGTGAGCGTCAGGCCCTCCAGATCGGCAGCCAGACTGGTGGACACAACTGCAGGGGGCGACACAGGCTGGACGCTGGGCGGGGTGACTGTGGGGTGGACGAGGAGGACTGGGGTGAGAGAGGAAGTGGCGCTGGCTGGCGCTGAGCGGGGGCCTGCCGCTCGGGGAACCGGCGGTTCAGCACCACGGACAGCGAGCGGGCGCGGGGCGTCCCGGTGGACACCGGCTCTTGCCCCCAAGCCCGCACGCCTGGAGGTGGTCGCAGGCCTGAAGATGCGTCCTGCCTGCCTCCCCATCCCAGTCCCTGAGGACCCCCGTGCAGGGCGCTCGTGAACCTCCCAGGTCCCGTGCCCCAGGCCCTGCCCCATGACGCCTGGTCGCACTCACAGTCCTCCAGGTCCAGCAAGGAGACCTCCTTGGCAGCGGGGGCGCCTTTGCTACTGGGCGGCTGGAAGAGAGGGGTGGGGTGTGGGTGTGGGTGTGGGAAGAGACCTCCCGCTCGGGGTGGGGTGGGGTCCGCTCCGCCACCCAGGCCCGGCCCAGAGGTCTCCCCAAGGCCCTCACCGTTTTCTTCCTCCAGGAGGCAGGTTCCGCCCGCTCCTCCTCGGACTGCGAGGTCGTCTCAGACTCTGAGGAGCTGCTGCTGGAGTCACTGCCCTCGTCCGAGGACGAGCCGCCGCCCCGCCCCTCTGGCACCTTCTTCCTCTTCTTCGCCTTCTTCTTCTCACCTTCCTCGTCGCTCTGCTCACTAGAAAGAGGGGCAAGCTGGGGTCAGGTCTAGCCTGGACACCCCTCTTGCCTCACAGAAGAGCAGGAGAAGCCCTGAAAAGTGGGAGAGGGCGGGGAGTCTGGGCGCCTGTGCTTGGGTCCAGGGAGAGTTTTAAGCGTCTCTGCTCAAACTCCAGACCCCAGGATGCTGTCCCAGGAAGCAGCAGGCCTGGCCTCACGACCTCCTGCAGCCCCCCAAATCTCCCATTGCTGGGTTGGCCAGGGGATTATGGCCCCTCACACCCAGCTCCCGGGAGGTTCGGGGGCTCTCAGAAGGCTGCCTAAACCTGAGTGTTAGCCCATCTTCTCAGGGGGACCCCTGAGACCCCCTTACCTCTCACTGCTCCTCCCTTTCTCCTCGTCCTCATCCTGGTCTTCATTATCTGACTCGCTGCTGGCCTCCCCAGAGCCGCTGTCACTGCTACTCTTACTGTCCGACTCGCTCTCAGACTCGGGGTCTGTGGAGGGATGGGCTCAGGCCTCCTCCTCGGTGCAGCCCCGGGTCAGAGCGGGTACACTGGACAACCAGCTTCAGACTCAGCACTGAGCCCCCAGCTCTGGTCCCCGCCCCAGGTGCCAACTGGACCAACCGAGACATCCATGCGCCTGTGTGGCCAGAGCTGCACACAGCAGGCGTGCACCCCTAGACACACACACAGGTGCACGCAGCAGGTGTACATCCATACACACACACCCCACACCCAGGCGCACACGCACACACACCCACATGCGCTGCCATAGGGCAGCACAGGGCAGGCGCACAGCCCAGCCCTGCCACCCCCTCACCGCTGTCTGCAGACTCGGTGGGGCCTGACTCGCCCTCAGAGTCTGAGTAGAAGGGTTTCTCCTTCTCCTTCCTCTTCTCCCGACTGGAGCACTTGGTCCATTCGGGCACCTGGAGATCGGGGTTCGGGGGTGTCACCAAATCATGGCTGGGCCTTCTTCCCACCCCCCACCTCCAGCCCTAGCTGGTCTTGTCCCCAAGAGCAAACAGCGGAGGGGGGGGGGAAGAGCACAATCATGGGGGAGGGGCCCTGTCAAATCAGGCATGGGGTGCACACAGGGGGTGCAGTGCAGGGTTGGGGGCACGGCACACAGCACACAGGGACCTCGGTATATTCGCCCAACAGGCCCACGTGGGTCTCAATAAGGGAGAGATCTTCTTCCTGCATGTGGGGAGGTGTCAGGGGGCTCCCTGCCATCCTGCCCCCCATAATGCGGCCCCCGCTGACCTCCACATTGCGCACAGATGGGTCTGGGGCCTCCTCTGGCCAGTCCGGGAGCTCCTGGTAGCCCGTGGCCTTGGCGTTGAGCAGGTGGGACAGTGAACCCAGCTGGAAGTGGTCCCGATCTGGAGGCAGGGTTGGGGGTAAGGCAGGTGGGAACCTGTGGGTGCCACTTCCTGGAACGGCAGATGGCGACTCCGGGCAAGACTCCCCAGGGGTAGATTTCTCTGCTGGCTTCCTGCCCAGCTCCCGCTTGGGCCCACATGCTGGAAGAAGGTCCTCCAGCTGCACAGAGCAGGCTGAGGGGTGGGGCGGGCGCCACAGTGGTGGGCAGGGGAGCAGACATAGGGGGTGGGGGATGGGAGCAGGGGTGATCTATAGGGGGTGCAAGGAGGAGGAACTGCAGAGGGCAAGCGGCTGAGAGGGGGTAGGGTGGAGGTCAGCCAGCGGACACTGTGGGGGGGCCGCTGGCCAGGACGTGAGATGGGCTTGTCTTCCGGGATCACAGGCACCCCAAGCTGGGGTCCTTGGCTTTTAAAACCTTGCTCGGGGAGGTGGCTGGAGGGGCCAGGAGCAGTCCGAGCCGGGAAGGCAGACACCAGGCTGGCATGCTGGGGTAGCTGTACAGGAGAGGGGTGAGGGGGTGCAGGGGCAGCCCAGAGCCCAGCTAAGCCTGGGATCTGGGGGTACAGGGTCCGGAGGGGTGTCCTGGCCTGTCCCTCCCCAACCCCACGGAAGGCCCCCACCTTTGAAGGAGGACTCCAGGACGGGGGCTGGTTTGGGAGCCAGGAAGAGCTTCTTGGCGTGGCGGCTGAGGGTGCCCCCCTGCTCCGAGGGCACGATCAGCTGGCGGGTGAAGCGAGCTCGGTCGCGGATGTCGTAGTTCTGGTCGTACTTGGCCAGACTCAGCACGTACTGGGTCAGCAGCTTGGTCTGGGAGACAACAGCGGGTGGGCAGTGGCAGAAAGGGTGGGGACCCAGGAACCAGATTTTTTGAGCTGACAACCCACGGCCCCCCATTAGGACCGGCTGCCCCACCCAACCTTCCCAGACTCGCCTCCTCGCCCCTCCCAGACCCCAGCACTGGCAACGGCCTTGGGCCGGGAGGGCGCCCTCTCACCTCCACCCTCTGGCCCGGCGCTGCTTCCCTCCTCAGGTCAGAGCCCCCAAGGGCCCTTCCAGCACAGCATCACTGCCCCACTGCCCACCTCACAGGTGAGCCCGCCTGGCCCTGACGCCCCGGGGATGCCAGCGCAGCGGACTGCATCCCAGACCTGCCCCTCCCTTGGCCAGTCACTACCAGGGTATCCTGACCACGTCCACTACCAGGGGCTGCCGAGCCCCCCACAGAGCCTGCAGCACACACGGCCCCGCCCTGGCTGGCCGATCACCCTCTCCCTCCCCCGGGGCCTTGCCCTTTCCTGGAAAGCAGCATTCAGGGCTTGGCTCCACCTGCCCCCTGGCCTGGATGCATGTCAACGAGCACCAGGAGAAGCCACTGGTCTCACTGCACAGCAGCCGTGGAAACGGCCTGGGTGTCCAGCGGCAGGGAGGGGATAAGGAAGGCGTGGGCTCTCCAGAGTGGAATACGACGCAGCTATGAGGAAAGAACTCTTGCCATCTGGGGGGAGCTCAGGGCATTGTGCTCGGTGAAATAAGTCAGGAGAAACACGGGAGCCAGCGGGCGTCCCTCACGCGCAGGATAAAGACACGAAACAAAGGCACAGACAGCACTAAGCCCAGCACCCCCAGAAATGTGCTGCAGAATTGAGGCTGACCAGAGGGGGGTGGCGGCAGAGGGGAGGGAGGAGGGGAGAGGGTGCCCAGACTGCAGGGGATTAGGGCGCTGCACTGGTGAAGCGGTGAGAACCTACCCCCTAAATCACGCTGCGGTGTCGTAAACCAGAATCATTCAGTAAACACTGAAATAAATACTTGAATAAGCAAACAAACAAATGAACATACAAGTAAAAGCAGGGGCGGGTGGAGGGGCGAGCCCCCCAGCTATCACAGCTCCCCGAGGCAGGCGCCTTCCCGGTGGCTCATCGCCCTGCGGGCAGAGCCTGGCGGCCTCTGAGCGACCCTGTGTCCTCCAGCCCAGAAAGCGCCCCCCATGACACTGAGGCCACAGGGCCAGGCCCTCCCTGCTTCCGGGCGGCCTGCCCCGGCTGGGCACGCCTGACCGAGTCCAGCCCACGACGGCCCTGCCTCCCCGGTCGGTCCCGGAGCCCACAGGGCCCGCCGGGGTGGAACAAGCACAAGGCTCCTATCCACGCTCCCGCCGGGCGGCCAAGCGGCCACCCGGCCGGTGGGGGCGTCAGTGCCCAGGGCAGGCTCCGTGCAGCCGCCTATGTGGATGTGTTGCCCCAGGCGCTGGCCGACTTCTTCTGTGAAGGGCCGGAGAACACCCGCCTCGGAGGACCCTGGCACAGCCGCAGCGCTGCGGTCAGGGAGGGTCAGCCTGCGCGAAGGGGGCTGAGTCCGACGAAACCGCGGGGACTCCAGCGGCCTCTCGCCATGCCCTGGCCGGCTTAACCCGGGGGGCTGGAGGTGGGCCGGGCGCTGTGGCCCCGCACAGGGAAGAGCTCCGTGCGTTCCATGTCATGCTGAGGGGGCTTCCTGGAACCATCTTTGGCTGCTGGACACTCAGCTTCCGACAGCCTGCCGGCCCTCCAGGAGAGCCGCACACTCGGCGGCGGGGGATCCCTCTCCACCTCTCACCGCAGGAACCACAGTGGCACCAGCACCACCCAGCCTGAGCAGACGGGCCCTCCTGTCCCTGAGCCAACCTCCAAGCTCGGGAGCACAGGCCACACCTGCTGGACATGCCCTCGGTCCGGCCCCACAGTGTCCCAACGATGCAGTGTCCGCGGGAGGGGCTCTCCCCCAGAGCCACCATCCCTCCCGGGCCCCGGGCCCCAAGCAGCCACAGACACCAGGGTAGCAGCTGACCGGGGGGCAGGCTGCCGGGGCTGGGTGTCACCCGCAGGAGGCTGCCCGGCGGTCCTGGGGGCCGGTCTCAGATGGAACTGCTGATCTCACCTGCTTAGAGTTGGTCAGGTAGAGCTTGGCCGCCAGGTTGATGACCTGCAGCTTGACGATGTCCTCCTCCGCCGTGAAGGACTTGGCCATCTTTCGCAGGACGTCGGGCGCCATCTTGGGCACGTGCTCGCAGTACTCCCCGATTAGCCAGAGGATGCTGGCGCGGGCCATGGGCACCTGCAGGTGAGGGGGCAGGACGGGGTGCTACCTCCCCCCACACTGAGGACCTTTGGAAATGGGGGTGGAGGCCAGCGGAGGGAGAGCCGAGGGGGCCACCCACTGGGCAGCGGCCCCACTTCCTTGGGGCTCATGAGCACGGGCGGGGTCTGCAGCCTGACGTCAGCACCCTCGGCACCCTCAGAGCTGGACACGGATGGAGGCCACGCTCCCTTCCTGGGCCCTCTAAGTGCCCAGCTTGACGGTGTCAACTTGCAGTGCAAGGACAAAACCAGGCCTCGCCAGGCGGCCGCTCCTGGCAGGAACTTTGGGCCAAACACGAGTGAAGGGACAGGCCATGGGACAGGGCCCCACAGGGAAGCAGGGAGGGTGGCCAGTCGTGGCACAGGGCCGCATCTGCCCCTCCACTCTGAAGGGCTTCCAGGGCAGGTCTGGAAGGTGTGAGTGTGTTTTGTGAGGGCCGGGGGGGGTCTTCAACGACCGGGTCTGTACCTGGATGCTGTCCGTGAGCTTGGCCAGGTGCTTAATGATCTCACCATGCTGGGCCGGCTGCATCTGCAGCAGCTTCTTAATGACCACCACGGACTCAGCCACCACGAGCTCTAGAGGGGCATGGACCCGGGTCAGCAGGTGGCAGGGCACACCCGTGGAGCCCCCAGACTCAGCTCTCCTCCCCCCAGGGCCCTCAGAATGGGGGGATGCTGGACCCCGATCGAGGCAGGCAGACGGAGGCGCACGAGTTGCCCGGCCACATGGGGCCTGCCGGCCAGAGCCGTGTGCACAGGTGGACACACACGGGTCCCCCCCATGGGACCCCGACACCCACTGACCATCACGGTTGGACAGCAGCTGCACCAGGCCGTTGAGGCAGGTGTCACGGACCCGGCCGATGTTCGTCGCGCAGCGGCCAATGGCCTGGATCGTGGCCGCCACAAAGTCCTTGTCCACACTGCGGATGTAGGTCTGTGGACACCAGACAGCGCCCACAGGCAGTGAGCCCTCGGTGAGGCCGCAGGTTGGGGGTGACCTGCCAGGAGGCCGCCCCCTCACTCTATGACTCATCATGCAGGGGTGACACTCACCCCTCCCAGCTTCTTCCAGGCCCAAAGCCAGCAGGGGCGTCGGGAGGGGCCCCCAAGGAAGCTTCTGCAGCTTTGGGTGTACAGAGCAGACCTGACCCACCAGGGCGATGCTCAGGACGCCCTGGGCCCCCAGACCCTGGTGGAAGCCACCAGCCTTACCTGGAACTCCCGCAGGACAGTGGGGATGTTGGTTTCGTTGGCCAGGTTGGTCAGCACTTCCAGCTGCGGGGGCAGAAGGGCGGTGGGTTCTGTGCTCTCACTGCCCTTCATCCCAAACCCACGCCACCGCCCAGCAGGAAGCCTCCGGCCGCCTGCCACTCCCTGACTGGCGAGCTCTGGAAACCGGTTCATGCTGGAGGTTTACCAGCCGAGCAGACCCCCGACAGACACCCTGGGGTCCTTGCAGCTCCTGCTGATTTCAGAACAGAGGATCTCTGACCTCTGACCGCTGTCCGCCCCTGACCTCCCACGGCTCGCCCTCCACGCCCCAGCCACACGGACTGCCTGTCACACCCTCCCGCTCAGGACTCCGCATGCTCCTGTGCCTGCACGTGCCTAGAGACCCCGCGCCCCTGTCAGCCTCAGCACAGCCCCCCTGCGCGACCAGACCAGGGCCAAGCTCGTCACACACGCAGGCCTCTCGTCCAGCAGGGGGCTGGGTCCAGGGTCCCTGTGCGCAAATGCCTTACGGAAACCACACGGCATCTGCCGGCGACGTAGGCGTTCTGCAGATGCTTAACTTCTAGATTTAAATACAACACGGACTGGGCAACGCAGGAGCCGTGCAAAGGGTCACGCTGCGTCTTTGAAGAGACACTCACCCCTCCCAGCTGCTTCCCGGCCCGAAGCCAGCAGGGGTGTAGGGAAGGGCCCCCACGGTAGTTTGGCAGCAGCCCCAGGCCTAACACGCTCCCAACTGTGGTTGGCGGGACCGGAGCACAGACGCTCAGGCGCGGGGCTGGCTACTGCACAGGTGCATTTCTGCGTGTTTTCCTCCCCTCAGTGGGCAGCGAGCTCTGCCAGGGCAGGGTCTCTGAGATCCAGCTGTGTGGCTGACACAGGCCCCAGCTGAGTGTGGGAGTGAGGGGCAGGGGGTGGGGTGGCGGGGGAGACAGAGCCCGCAGTGGGGACGGCGTGGATTTTGAGCTCGGGGTAGCTCCTGGCCTTCCTGAGTCCACGCTGGTGTCAACTGCGGTGATGGGCCCTTCTGGGTGGTTCCCAGGAGCCTGTCTCCAGGGTGGCCGAGGCAGGTGTATACAGCAGGCCGGGGCGGGGCAGCTCCCTGCGTGCCCCCTCCCTGCACTCGCCTGGCTGCTGGGCAGACACTTCCTGCCCGGGCCCGGGCCCCTGAGGTGGGCAGGCAGGGGTGCTCAGGGGGGAATCTGAGTAGGGGTGGGGAGGGGCAGAGCCACTGTGGCTCCTTCCTGACTCACCTTGAGGATCTTGATCTGGGTGGGGTCGGTGGACCTGATGTAGAAGCTCTTCAAGTAAGGCTCGAACATGCCCTGCGCAGAGACAGCCCCGCTGCACCCCGCCCGGCCTCTGCCGTGCCCCTCCCAGTCCTGCGTCCTCAAGCCTTTCCGCCCAGGCTTTCTTCACGGGTTTCCCCCCCTCAGTCGGCTGCCCTTGGGGTCTCCCATTCGCCAGCCCCAGCAGCCAAGGTGGCCCCCAAGCTGCCCTCCCAGCGCCCCGCAGCCAGCCAGCAGCCGTGTCAGCTCACCCGGCGCTTGATGGACATGGTGGCCACGTTCTGGAGCACCACATACTGCACCTCGCTGTGGGGAGGGCGCACAGGTTCCTGGACCCGCCGGCTGGGGCCGGGGCGGTGGGGAGGGAGGTGGGCCGCATAGGGAGGAGGAGGGGACCGTGGGGGGAGGGCGCCCGCAGGGGCAGGCCAGCCTGGGGTCGCACAGGGTGGGCCAGACTGGGGAGTCAGATGGTCTCGTGGGTCGCAGGGCCCGGATATGCGCGACGGGGGTGGGGTCCAGGCAGGCCCTCTGGGCCGGGCCGGGCCCAGGCAGGCGCGCACCTGTGGCTGCGCAGCAAGCGCACGAGCGCCTTGGCGATGACGCCCACCTCGGCCTTGGGCGCCAGGTGGAAGTAGAGCTGCGCCACCGCCATGACCACGGCCGCGCTGCGGCTCTGCAGCAGGGGCTTGGTGTTGCGCAGCAGCAGCCGGTGGTCCGGGTCCATGATGTAAGGCTTCCGTGCGGGCAGCGCCGGGATGGCCGCCGCCTCCGACCCGGGGCCCTTGGCCTCGTCCTCCTCCGAGCCGTAGAAGGCCTTCTCGGGGTTCTCCTCCAGCAGGGACTCCTGGAGGGGAGGCGCAGCGTGGGCGCCTCCTCCAGCGTGGGCGCCTCCTCCCGGCAGCCCACCCGCGGCGGGCCCTCTGCGCCCACTCACGTTCTGGGTGGGGCTGAGGAACTGCGTGCGGGCGTAGCGCGTGAGCATGCTGATGATGACCACCTGCCCCCACTCCTCCACGTCGATGAGCAGGTTGCAGAGCTTGCGGTAGTTCTTGTGGATCAGGTCGATGCGCTCCGGGCAGACCTCCTCGAAGGCCATCACCACGCTGCCCGCCACCAGCTGGGGCCGAGAGGACCCGCGATGAGCCGCAGGGCAGCAGGGGCTCTGCTGGGCACCTCTCCCCCACCCACCCCGGGTGTCCCTGTGCACCGTGGTCTTGTCCGCCAGGAGCTTCTCGATAACCTCTATCAGCTGATCCTTCTGGTCCGAGTCCAGACTGGGGGAGAGATGATTGAGAGGGGTGTGCCCTTCCCCCCAAATCTGCCAGAGCTGTGTCACCTCTTGCACCCCACCCTATTTATACAAAGGTGGGCTCCCCCTCCTCTGCTGTCATCCATCTCTGCAGATCCCTCAAGCTGTATTAAACCATCTGGAGAGTGGGGCAGAGGCAGCCTGCAGGCGTGGGAGAAGCAGGCCTGGCTGAGGGACCCTCCCAGGCATTGGGAGGTGGTGGGCGGGGGCAGGGCTGGCTACCTGTAGAGTTTGGGGATGGCGTGGGCAGCTGTTTTCCGCACATAGGGTGACATGTCCGAGGCAGCCTCCTTGATGGCCAGCATCATGATGGGCACAATGATGGGCACACGGATGCTGGAGAGGACGCGGAGGGCACTGGCACGAATCAGCTGGTTGGGGTCCTAAGGCAGAGGCGGAGGCAGAGCCACGCAGGCACCAGGTGACCACCGGAGAGGCCACACCTGGGGAATTCACTGTCCCTGCAAGTACCACCTCTCACTTCCCACCTCCTGCGCTGTGTGGGCCGCCTCATAGCACAGCCTCTGGACCCTGCAGGACCTAACACCTGAACGGGTGTGGCAAAGGGCAGCTTCAGGGGAGCCAAAGCGTTCAGAACCCCTAGAGCTCCTGGACACCTCCTCTTCCTTAGGAGCCAGGGCCTGTGTGTTTACGCCCAAGGTGGCTGCACTGGTCTCCCTCCATCACCATCATCACCGTCATCACACTTCTCTCTCCCACGGCCTCCAAGCCCCCTCTACTTCCTCCACGTCCACTGTGTTTAAGGAAGAACAGGCGTGGAGGCCCTGGGCTCTGCACACGCCTGAGGCGCGCACGGCCCTGGTGACCCGTGGCCCTGGGGGCATCTCCCTGTCACCAGCAGCGGCAGCGACGAGAGCAGCCCTAAATCACTGCCAGTCCTTGAGCGGGGTGGACAGTGGAGGACTCTGGAGAAGCAGGGGCGCCACCCAGGTCCTCCACCCGGAGAAAGGGAAGCCCCACATTGCAGGTGAAAACGATGGTGACCCCGGCCACACTCTGGAACTGACTTTTAAACGGACGATTTAAATGGTCTTATTTAATCAGCAGGAGCCTGTATTTTCTTGGACTGAAAACGTGCCACATCAGCTGCTAAAACCTATTTTCCTCTGTAAAAAGAAAAAATCCATTTCATTTGGAAATAACTGGACTCATAGAAGTTACCCCCCAAATCCTATTTTCCTTTCTGATGGGGCAGCTGAGCTGGTAGCTGCTAATACTGTGTGTGTGGATCGCAGCAGCGGGAGTCTCATGCCCCGCGTTATTTGCATTTCACCAGGCCCTGCCTTTCTGATGTAAGCATTTTAAGGGCCAAACTCATTTCTATTTTATCTTTTATCTCCACATCCCTACAGTCCTTTGCACTCGAAGTTTGTTAAAAAAAAAAGGAACCAAAACTGCTTTACTTTTGAGTAACATCCCTGTCTGCTGACTGTCTAGATAGGGGGATCCAAAAGGTGGTAAAACGTTGTCCTTGGGAAGGTTTATTAGCAGGTGGGGTCAAATGGGAAACAGGGTGTGCCGTGGCCCCGCAGTCTTTGCCCCAGTGGGGACAGCTTCTGGGTGTCTTGATGGAAGATGGAAAATCAGAAGGGACAAAATTAAGATTTGGAATCCTCTAGACTTGGCGCCTATGCTAAACCAGTAAGATGAAACCTAAGAGGGCTTCCTGGGGACTCAAGGGGCCTCACGCACAAGGACAGGGTGACGGGAGGCCTCGATTATCCCCTTACCCCCTGGAGGTCTGTCTGAATCTGCTGCTGAGCAAGGACACAGCAGAGGCTGATGAAGGGCAGGGAGAACCCTGGATGGAAATGAGTGGTTCCCGTGGACAGGAGAGCCCCCCAACCACCAAGAAGAACATGAATTCAGATATATATATATATATATATATATATATGTATAGGCAGATAGATAGATAGATAGATAGATAGATAGATAGATAGATAGATAGATAGATAGAGTTATCACACGCACACACGAAACCACCCCGCGCTGCCTGGACTGCGGAAACCAGCAGTCAGGGAACAGGCGCGCGCATGCGCAGGGGCAAGGAGCCACTGTGAGGGCCTGGGCTGGGGGACGCGTCCCGCCTCCGGCTGGGAGCACAGGTGCTCCTTATCCTTCCTGCCTTCTGTGGCCTGAAGCAGATCCTTAAAAATGACAGCCATGGGGGTTGCCACACAATGACACAAAACAGCTGTTCTGAGATGGAGCGAGCGCCTGGCCCAGCAGCGAGGTCTCTGTCCCGCCCGGCGCTTGTTGGGCCTTTGCAGAAATAAAACATGCGTGGGTGCGCCCCGCCTGCCCTCCGACGGCTGCCTCGAGGGCCGGGGTGCCAGTCCCAGCGCTCTGAAAGCGGACCCCGTCATCTGGCGCCTACTTAATGGACAGGTTGCTGACTTCTGGGGGCCCTTCTCATCTCCAGCTGCCACCGGGGGCTTCTGGGTGACCCACACAGCCGCTGGCCATGAGCCAGCAACAGGAGGCGCCTGCTGACCGCCTGACAGACCCTGCGGCCCAGTCCCCAAGGCTGTGGGTGACCCCAGCTCAGACCGCTTCCTGCTGACCCTGTAATGCCCCTACGCCCCTACAGCCTCGGCTCTGTCGCTTTGACGTGGCCCCCAATCGTGGGCCCCTTTCTCGAAAATGCTTTCCTGCCTGATTGTTACTGGCTGGAGGCCGCTGTTTGCAGCCCTTTCATGCAGGGTGGGACCACAGCGGACGGCATAGACTGCAGGGAGCTCGAGGCGTAGGCCAGTTCTCAGGAATGCGCTAACCTGACTCAACCCAGAGGCCGGGCCCAGACAGACCCTTAGGCTTCAACTTTTTTTTTAAAAAGGAGGCCTCCCTGCTGGCCGCGGAATGAAGGTGGGGCCCGGCACAGGGGCCAGATGGACCAGGCTGAGCCCGATGTGGGCAGCAGCCTGCACCGTCTGCTGGACGTGAGGGGCGGGCAGCGCTGGGGAGCCTGCTCTTGCGGTCCGAAGTAAACGTGTGGGAAGAGCAGTGAGTTCGTGGTTTTGCTGGGAACAGAGGCACAAGGTGAGAGGTGGAGGGCAGGACGAGCCTCCTAGCCTGGCCGGAACCTCTCCCGGTGGAGGCCACCAGCAAGCCCCGATGTGCAAAAGCAGAGGTCAGCACAGGGCGGGCAGCCCCTCTGCCACGGACGTGAGCCTGCCCAGCCCTCCCTCCTCAGCGTCTGCTCTGCTGCCCCGGGCATGGGCTCACGGGACACATGGCCGCGCCCTTCCCGGCTGGGGTCAGCCTTGTGGGTTTTGTCCTGGTGGAGCTCACTGGCTTTCAACAAGCCCCTTGTCCTCCTCCCCGTTCCAGGGGAGGGGCAGCAAGGTCCCCATCCCCTCCAGACCCGGGGCAGGTGTCAGGCAGCAGCTCCCCTCACGCTACCCTGTCCTAGGGAGCGGGCTCCTGTCCAGCTGCCGGCCACAGTCCTTCGCCCCAGCAGGGGCGTGGGCGCGGGGCCCCTCACTGAGCAGACACTCACCGCATCTCTCCTGCCCCTTCCGAGCTGGCCTCCCCGCTCTGGGGGCCTGGCTGGGCCCATCCCCACCCAATGTTAGGTAGGTGGGAGGGGGCTCCAGGACCTGCCCCCCACCCCATGCTCTAGCCCTCTCTTGCCCACCCGGAACAGCGCCAGCCCAGCGAGGCAGACGGGCACCGCTGACCTTGAGGCCGCGCTGGAAGGTGGAGATGGACAGCAGGGCCAGGTCTTGCTGCTCCTCGGCGTAGCGCACCAAGTACACGTACACAAGCTTCTTCACCTGGGGGTGCAGGTGCCTCAGGGGCGCTGCCCCTCCCCACAAGGTGTCCCCTGCCGGCTGGGTTCCCGGGGCCACATTCCTCCCTGGGGACAGCACCCCAAGGGCACCCAGTCCTTTGCACTGACCCCCTTGAGTTTAGGGGCGTGGAGACAGGTCTTCCCCCAGACCAGCTGGGGTCCCCACGCTGTGCCCCTGCCTAGCGCCGTCCCCGTGGGGACGAGGAACCCCTCACCTCTATGTTCTTGCAGGCCACGTTCTTTACCACGGCGGGGAACAGGTCCGAGGCATTCTTGCCGCGGGCGATCATCTGGGGAGCAGCGGGGCGTGGGGGGCAGCGTTTACTAGGGGAAGGTCCACAGGATCCAAGAACACTGCCCTGACACCTGGCCCCTCCCCAAGGCAGCCCCCTGCCCTCCTCACCGCCACAATCCTCTTCATGGCCTCCAGCTTGAGGGAGTCCTTGTTGGTGTCCAGCATCTCCTTGAGGTCATCGTGCCTGAAGGGGGGAGGGGTCAGCTGAATGGGGGGGAGAAGGGGTCTAGAGGGAAGTGGGGGGGCAGGGAGGCTCAGGCAGGGCTGCTGGGAGGGGAGAGGCTACAGCACCGGGTCAGGAGAGCGCCTGGGCAGCCAGCGTGAGGGGCGGGCTGCGTCCCCCTCAAAGGGGATGTGCCGATGCCCCACCCCCTAGTGCCCAAGACGGCGGCCAGCGGTACCGCGGTTGTGACTGTCCAGATGAGGCGACACTGGACAGGTGGGGTGGGGCCTCATCACCCATGGTGCTCTGAGGTGGGGCGTGAGGACAGGAGCCACGGGACACCCCCCCCCCGGGGCAGGTGCAGGTGGACAGGCGATCCACATGCCAGGAATGCCACCAGGAAGGGGCAGGGCTGGAGCCCGCAGGCTGCCGGGGACACCAGGGACGCGGAGCCGGTGGGTGGGCAAGGCGTGGACAGAGCAGAGGAGCCTGGATCCGGGGCCAGCCTGAGTGTGTTCCCAGGTGTCAGCCCACTGAGTCAGCCGGGCTGGACAGTCCCACCTACATCACAGTGGCCTCGCCACAAAGGCCAGACCTGCCGCCCACACTCCACCGTCACTCAGGACGCCCAGGACCCTATCGGGAGAGACAAGCTCTTGAGTAAGTGGCCCCCTGCACTTGGCCAAGCACTGACAGCCCCTGGGCCAAACCCAGACTCCAAAGACCACTGATGAGAAACACCCCACGGCCCCAGGGGAAAACAGGGCACCAGAGGCCCTGGGGGCATCGCACCAGCGCCTGAGTGGGTCCAGGCTGGACGGCCCGCCCCGCACACCTGCTCGCCCCGCACACCGGCTCACGCAGACGACACACCACGTGCGTCCAGTGGTCACATTTTTTTTTTTCGGACAATTAAAAAAATATTTTTAAATATCAAGAAGGAAGGAGAAACATTGATCCTCAAGGTCACTCAACCGTAAGTTCCGACGGCTACGCCTGACTTCTCACCTTCGCCTGTAAAAACTAACAAGACGAGACAGCCGCGCAGGGCGGCGGGCGGGCACAGACGCCGGGTGGGCGCAGAGGAGGCCCCGCTACCTTGGAGGCGTCCTCCCTGCACACTTGAGTAGCGCGGGCGCCTCTGGGACAGAGGGGCTGGCTGTCAGGGACAGGACGAGCTGTCCAGCTGCACACGGACCTGAAATTCCCTGAACCAGGGGCACCCACTCCTCTCCCAGGCCGAGCTGGGTGCAGACGCACCTCGACACTCCAGACAGACCCGCGGCTGTGCTGGGACAGACACGGGTGGCGCGTGCAGCTGGGTCTGGGCGGCGGGAGGCACGGGCACCGCCTTCCTCGACACACACGCCCTCCCGCACCCCGGGGTCCTCTGACATACACCCATCGTGGAGCTCACATCTCCAGACCAGCACCCCGCCACCCCCGCCAAACACTAGCACCACTGAGATGGGCCACGGACCCTCCCACCAGACCCGGCCGCAACGCACATTCGCTTGCTTCCCCGAATGTGCACCTCGGACAGTGCACCCCGGACAGACACATCACAAACCAGAGAGTACACCCCAGACATGTTATACCCCAGAAACATTGCACCCCCAGACACATCACACCCTCAGACACACCTACACCCCCAAAACCACACTGACACCTCCCACAGACACACACAATCCACACAAACCCACAAAAACTCCTGCAGACACATCACCGCGGCCCCCACCGTCATAGACACATCCCACAAACCCACGCTCCACACAAGCCCACATATACCGACGATACAAATGCACCTCACACACATCCCTGCAGACACCCACAAACACATACACACCCCAGACACGTCCTCACCACTGGCCCTGTGCACCCACACTCTCATCTGCACACGCCCCCAACTGCCCAACCCTGGCAACACACGGGACACACCTGTCCCCCCACACGCCACACACACGCCCCATGCACACCCTCAGATCCCCCCAACATTGTGGAATAAAACTTGGTCACTCCAGCTTCACTCATGAAGAGCCACCTCCACGGCCGATCTGAGATTCCTGGGGAGCCTTGGGCTTCCCCATCAGATCCCTCAGCCCCAGCCCTGATCCCCCAGGGCGGGTGAGGGCTGCACTGGGAGCCCGGCTTCGCCTTCACACCTGGGTGTCCTCACCACACCCACAGCTGCCACAGCCCCGTGTCAGATGCACACCCACCCCCGCCCCAAGCCCATGGGGACGGGCAGGCAGGGCAGGGCGCACAGGAGGCAGCGCCAGCAGGGGTGTCGGAGGCATGGGCAGCAGTTCCTGGGGACCACCCTGCTCCCTCGTCCTCACCCACCAGCTCTCATCCTGAGAGGGAGCCGGGAGGAGAGGCGGCCACAGATCCTTGTCTCTGGCCAGATCCCCTTACACCCTCTGCCCTGAGACTCGGCTGGGGGGAGGGGGGACGGGATGGGGGCGGTGAACGAGCAGGTGAATAGGCCTCTGGGGGTCGGTCATGCCCACCGCCCCCCGGACCCACCTTGCTCCCACGCCTCACCCAAGTTCCCGTCTGCGAGCTGGGAGGGCCCAGCCAGAGGGCTTTATCCGGCCCCCAAACCTCACCGCCCTGCCAGGCCTGGGGCAGAAAGAGGCCAAGGGGCCTCAACCCTCAAATCAGTACTTTACTAGCTCCCTCCACCCCAAAACCTCAACTCCCCCACTCACACACAGTCCCCGCCACCCCCTCCTGCCTGGACCCGAACGCCCGCCTGCCCGCCCGCCCGTCCTCTGCCAGGGCAGCAGCTGCCCACGTCGGGGGCCTGGGAGGTGGGCCCCGCGTACCGCAGAGGCTGGCTCTGGCCCTGGCCGGGCTCTGGGCAGGGGCCTTCTAGGGGTCCTTCGGGGGCTGTGTCTTCCTCTGGGGCCTGCAGCCACCGGAGTTCCTCGGGCTGCAGGGCCTGGTACCAGGGTGGGGGCCCGCCTTCGGGGGTCAGCACAGGGCTGGCCGCCTCCTCGTCAGCTCTGCAGGCCCCTCGGGCCCCTGGCCTCACCACGGCCCCGGGAGCTGCAGGAATCGCTGCATGGGCCACCAGGTCCTGCTCCAGATGGGCCGGAGCCGACCAGGGCCTGGATACCTGCGCTATCACCAGGGCCGCCCGCCTGGAAACCGGACACTGGCAGGGAGGGGAGCTCTGGTTTCCTCCGGCTGCTGCGGGGCTGGAGGGGAGGAGGGCGGGCACTGGGGAACCCGCCAACCCCTCCTCCAGGCAGGGCAGGGGGCGCAGGAGCCGACCTAGAGGAGGCGAGGGCTGCCTGGGACGGGCGCCTCCTCAGCCTGAGGGTCCTCTAGAGCCTGTGTCTTCCAGAGCCAGTCCCTCGGCTCTCTCCGCGCAGCCTTCTCTGCCCCCCCAGCTCTCCCCTCCCCGGCCCTCTGCCCCCAGGCAGGCAGCGGGAGTAGCGCCACCCACAGCACCCCCTGCAGCTTCACTACCAGCTTCTCACAGACAATAAAAGGCTGAGACAAGATCCCTGCGCCTCAGCTCCGCCCACCCTCCTGCCTCCCCGCCCGGGGCAGGGCTGCGCCTCCCAAGCTCCGCGCTCCGCCCTCCCAGCCCTGGGGCTCCGTGCCACCCCGCTCGGCCTCAGCCCCTCTCAGTCTCCCCTCCTGCCCTCTGAGTTACGCTTGCCCGCTGAGCCCCTACCCTGCAACACACAGGAGCCCGCCGCCGCGGCCCTGCACCCACGTTCTCTGGGGCGGCTCCTTCCCTCCCTGTTCCAGGCAAACTTCCTGGAAGCAAATCCCCACTCCCCGCGTGTCCCTACTGTTATTATTTGACATTTATTATTATTCCCTGTGTTTCGCCTCCTTTTTTGCTGCTCTCTTCTCTTTGCTTGCTGTGGGCCCCCAGAATCTGGGGGTGAGGAGGAGGGTCAAGGCGTCGGGCAGCAGAGGCCCAGCGCAGACGCCGCCTAGACGGGCAGATGAACGTGGAGCATCTCAACGCCGGGCGGGGGGAGGCCTCACGGCGGCCACACCCGAGCTCCCTGTGGGTCGCCCAGCCAGCTTTTCTGTGTGCTTTGAGATATCCACAGTAGAACATCGAGGGGCCCTGCCCCCCTTCTCCAGGCTCTGCGGGACGGGCCCTCCTTGTTGGCCTCACCGCGCTTGGCGTGGACACCACCGACTGCCTCCTCCTTCCCGGACCCACTTTTATTTTCCTTCTGCCTCTTGGTTTACTCTTTCCCAGTCCGGGACCCCCTCCTCCCTGGCTCTGGCCACCCCGGAGGTGCGAGTGCTCAGGGCTCTCCGCGGGGCCCTCGTGACCTCCCAGGCTCCCCCCAGCTCGCTGCCTCTGTGGCTCTGCCGGGGGCGCGGGCTCCCTGCAGCCCAAGCCCAGGCACGACCAGCGAGGCCTGAATGCCCCACGGGCCTACAGCCTCCAGGCCCGACCCTGGGCTCGACTTTATTTCCCACACATTTGCAACATCTGTTTCCAGAGCACGAGATGGCACGGCCCCTACCGGCTCCACCTGGTTTCAATAACCAACCACCTGAGCGTCACCCTGGTCCTCTTCCTGCCGCTTCTTCTCACCCTGACCCCCAGTTAATCATCAGGGCTGCAGCTTCTGCCCCAGCAGCCCTCAATCCCTCCCGCATGCAGGCCGCCAGTGAGCACCCAGCCTGAGTGACCTCACTTGGCTCTGGCCCAGCCAGCCCACGGCAGCCCCTGCTCGCAGTGTGCCCGGACGCTTCTAACATGCAGCTGGGAGAGCCGCACCCCCTAGGCGCCCCACCCTCCCCTCTGAGCACCCCAGCGGCCCCTCCCCCACCTTGGCACCCCGCGCTCACCGCCGGGGTCCTGGGCCTGCGTGGAGACAGAGCACAGCACGCCCGGCCCCTGCGGGCCCTCCCGCCCTCTTGCCCGCTGCCCCGCGCCTCCTCTGACCCTCTGGGGCACCCCCGCCCCTGAAGCACCGCCCACCCCTGGGCGCTCCCTCCAGCGCAACCCGGGCACAGACCGGCCCCTGCCCACGGCCCGGGAGCCCCTGACGCCTGCTGGGTCAGCGCGAGGAGACCCGCGTGAGGGACGGGGGGGGGGGGGCTCAGGCGGGGCTCAGGCGGGGGGGGCTCAGGCGGGGGGGGCTCAGGCGGGGGGGGGCTCAGGCGGGGTCGCCGCGGGGCGGGGACGCGGCGGGGGCCAGGCGGGCCTGGAGGCCTGCGCCCCCCCCCCCCGCTGACCCGGGCCCCGCGCGCTGCTCGGGGTCCACGCCGGGGCGCGAGACGGCGGCCCCCGGCACCCCCCGCCCCCGCCCCCGCCCCCGCCCCCGCCCGGGCCGGGCGCTGTCCGTGGTGCCGCGGCCGCCTCACCGCTTGTAGTCGGACGAGAAGATGCCGCCGCTCGCCGGGTCGTGGCCGTACTCGGGCTCCCCGGGGCCGGCGGAGCCGCCCTTGTCCTCGCCGTAGGCGGGCGCGGCCGACATGGGGCGCGGGCTTCGCGGGGAGACGCCGGGGCCGCGGGTGGGGGTGCGGGCGCAGGCCGCGGGTGCGGGCGCGGGGTGCGGGCCGCGGGCGGGCGCGGGTGCGGCTGCGGGGCGCGGGGTGCAGGCCGCGGGCGGGCGCGGGGTGCGGGTGGGGGTGCGGGGTGCAGGCCGCGGGCCGAGCTGATCGTCAATCAGGGCCGCGCGCTCGGGTCTTAAAGGCGCCGCGCCCGGGGCGTGTCCGCGGGGGGCGGGGAAGCCGCGGCCCCGCCCCAGCCCCGGGAAGCCCCCGGGAAAGCCCCCCCTCCCCGCCGGGAGGTTCCGGCCCTGCAAAGGGACTCGCTGCACCCCTGGGCGCCGGGGCCGCGGGAGGCCGCTGGGCTGCCGGTGGGACAAGGCTCCAGGGGTTCGGTGGCCTCCCCCCTCCTCAGACCGCCTGGCTCCGTGGACGGCTGCAGGGGCGCGCCACCCCGGACGGCAGCGCGCCGGCTCCCCGCTGCGGGGGGAGGGGCGGGGTGGAACAGAACGCTGTGCCCCAAGACTGGAGACCCGCGCTGACACCAGGACACCCCCTCCCCTCCCCACACCCCGGCCGTGGCGAGCCCTGGGCAGAGCCGACGGAGGGAGGGTGACCCTGAATTCAGCTTTGGAAAATCGTTTAATGATCGCGTGTGCGCCCGCGTGCCACCCGGGGGGGTGTGCGGGCTCCTGGTCCACGGTCAAGTCCACGTCCACCCGCCCCTGGCAAGGGAAGGAACGCGAAGAGGCCAGGTGAGGGTCTGGCGGACCCCAGGGCTCTTGCACCCTGAGGCCTCCAGCTCAGCTCCCAGACCGTCCCCAGGAAAGCTGCAGCCTGCAGGGGACAGAGGTGGGACTGCAGCTGGGCCGAGGCTGGGGCATCAGAAGGGGTCCCCCCCCAGGATCATGGCAGGAGGTGCGGGCCTGTTGGAGGGGAGGAGTCCACAGTGCGGTCTTGACCTGCCTCTAGGGCAACATCCGTGGGCTTGGGTGGGAATGGGTGTGGCCCAGAAGGTGGTCTGGAGGGCCTGGGGGTTATGGGATTGCCTGTGGGGACTGAGCAGGAGTTGGGGGGGGGCGCCTGGGCTTGGAGGTTGGTAAGCTGGAGTAAGGATCTGCGGTGGTCTCTGCCAGGGGGCCTCGCAGGGGTTCACAGGAGGGGAGCCCCACGGCAGGCCCAGCGTGTTTTGGGCTGGGTCTGCCAGAGTAAAGGGGATCTTGAGGTTAAGGACGTGGCTGGGGTGCAAGGGGAGGCTAGCTGGCTCCGGAAGTGGGGTTGTGCGTGGGTAGCCGAGGGGCACTCACCCAGCTCTTATCTCTGTAGGGAGTCCTCGGGATCCAGCTCCAGCAGGCGCGGTGCCAAGCGCGCGCAGTTGCTGCGCACGGGGTGGTAGGTGGGCGGGTCGGCCTCCATGGCCTCCCGAACCCGGCACTGCAGCGCCACGCGGTCCACGCCGCCGCGTCTACGCAGCACGCGCCACAGCGAGCGTGAGCGCAGCAGAGGGCGCTGGCCCTTTGGATCCACGCCTTCACAGGAGCCCAGAAAAGCGTGGGGCGCATGCCCACCCGGATCCTTGCCTGCCAGATGGCGGGGTGGGTGCAGATTAGAGCAGGGCCCAGATATTGTGACCCCAGCTTCGTGGTGAGTCCACACCCCCTCTCCGGACACCTGGAGGCCCGGCGCCCACACCCAGGATGCCCCAGTGCCCATCTCCGGACGCGCGCACCCCCATCTTGCTCCCTCGGTGGGAGCCCATGTTTCTGCGGAGCTGCTCACCCTCAAAGTGGATGCTCTCCCCCTGGCCGCGGTACATGCCCACATGGGCCCCGAGCCAGCGGCCTGAGGGGGACATCAGCCGCAACAGGAAGAGGTGCCCCAGCTCAGGCTCACCGCCACCCAGCTCCACTGCCTCGAAGTGCTGGCCCAGGAAAGCCTCGGAGAGGAAGAATTTCAGGGTGCTGGCTGCCCCCGTCGGCGCCTGGGAGAGAGGGACCAGCCTGCAGGCCCTTGCGCAGGGCGGATCTAGGAGCTGTGTCAGGCTGATGGCCCTCTAGGCCCGCCCAGAGCTCAGGGGGCCCAAGGTGAATGTGTCCCCTCCTGGCCCCGCTCCCGCCACCGTGGGCTGAGGGACAGCACGGACAAATCAGGCCGAGTGCCCTTAGTGGCCAGCGGTCGGAGGTTTCTTCTCGTCTTAGAGCCTGCGGCTGTCTCTCCTCCCTCCCCTCCCCCACCGGCGCCCATCCCGTCATTTCCTGGCCATTTCCTGGAGGCAACTCCAGGGGCTCCTCAGGGTACCTGGGTGGCGCAGAAGACCTGAAGAAACAGAGAAAGCCGGTGAGATGCGGACTGCGCAGGCACCCCGCAGGCCTGAGTGCAGGAAGACCCCCAGCCCAGCCCCAGGCAAGTGGACCGGCCACCACGGGCGGCCCTGGCCTGTCACCACCTGTCCTCTCAAGGGAGGGAGGAGCCGGGGCTCCTGTCTTTCCAGGGGAAGGAGCGCTTAGGGCCTCACTCCGCTGCCGAGTCTGAGCTTTGGCTTGGGGGGGGGGGCATGGGCACTGAGCTCCCCGGGAGCTGGCAGGGGACCCGGCCCGGCCCAGGTCTCTGTCTGTTGGGAGGGGATGGCTCCCTCTGGCTCGGGTGGGCTGGGTCTCTGCTCCTGCTCCCTCCCCTCCTGGCCCCCTCTGGAGTCCCTGCGTGTAACTGGCTCGTTTTCCCAGGCTGGGCGCTGGGGAAGGCCTGAAGGCCGACTCACCCCGCCTGGCCTGAGACGTTCCAGGTTCCAAGATAGAAACCTCCTGTGCTGGGGACCCAGGAAGGCTAGGACAGCTGCTCCCCCCCCCTCGACCCAGGAGACCACAGGGAAGAGCCACTCATGCGAATGCCCTGGGCTCTTCACAGCCCCTGGGAGGGGAGGGCACCTGGGCTGCTGCTTTGCACCCCCAAACCACTGGGTCACTGCTGTGGGAGAAGGTGGAAGGTCCTGGCCCCGCGGGCAGCAGACACCCACTTGGGGAGAGGAAAAGCCAAGCGGGGGGCTTCTGCTCCAGTTACCCTGGACGTGAAGCTCATCTAGGGAGGAAAAAACCAGTGGTGACCAGTGGTGACCGGGCAGCCAGGGCGGCAGGGGCGCCCAGGCCGTGTGTCGCGGGGGCCTGTCTGCGGGCTGTGGTGTGGCGGCCCTGGGGCTGCCGCGACACTGCACAGGGGGCCCGGAGAGCAGTGTCCCGGGGACAGCGTCCATCCGGGTGCCCGCCTCTCTGTGGGGCCGGTGAACGAGCCACTTCCTGCCCCCCCCCCAACTTCTTACTCTGTGAAAGGGGAAGACCAAGGCCCGGAGGCCTTCCTGAGGCCCTGATAGGGCGGGTCAGGGAGGGGCAGGATTGGCTTATCTTGGGCTTCTGGGGTGACTGGGTGGGGAGAATGAGTCTCTTTCAGCTGAGGAGAACAATGGGTCCTCAGAGGCTAAAGGCCTCCCTGTGACCCCCGCCCCAGAACTCCCTGGGAACCACCCAGCCAGAAAGGCCCTGGGGAGCCTTCCCGGCCTAACCCCTCAGAAAGGCGGGGGTTGGGAGGTGCTGTGGCCAGCCTGGGTTACTTTGATTTGGGGTCCTTGACACAGGGGTCTAGATGGACAAGGATCCATCTGATACAGTTAACAAGTTCATCTTTCCCCCATTTTTTGCAATTCCCCTTATCTAGCATTAACAGGATTGATGACTTGTCTTTCCCATTTGTTGCAGCTTCCCCTCCCCTTGGGAAGAAAAAAACAAGCTGGCGCCCACCGGTTTCCCTGCAGACCCTTCCCCCTCGCCCTAAGGAAAACAAGTTGGCGATCACCGTCTCTGTGCCTTGACACCTTCCCCTTCCCTTAAGATGAAGGAGCTGACACCCATCCATCTCCCTGTTGAGCTGGCGCCCACTTGTCTCTGTGCAGACCCTTTCCCCCTCCCCTTCGCGGATGCCTACCCATCTCCCCCTGTATAAATACCCCTGCCCACTGCCAAAGAGCAGGACGGTGGTTTTTCGGACATGAGTCTGCCGCCCTCCTCATTTGTCGACAAATAAAACCGCTTTCCTTTTCCTCAAACTTAGTTTCCTTTTATTGGCTGAGGGAAACTGAGGCCGGCGTTCGGTAACACATCCAGAATGACATTTATTGCCAGAAATTACTAGCCCCCCAGTTCGCCCTGAAAAGATACCGTTATTTACAGATGGAGAAGCAAGGCTTGGAGAGGTTGCCACCGTGACACGCTGGCACCGGGTTCGAGCCCAGGCAGCGCGGCTCCAGGGTGCCGGACCTCACTGCTTACGGCAGCAGCACCCCCTCCTGCCGCGCCCCTCCCACGCAGGCCTGAGTCCCTCCCCCAGGCCTCGAGAGCCCAGCCAGGGCCTCTCTGCAAGAAAGGGAAAGGAGCCAGCGTGCTGGGGCCCGCTGGGGCTTCCTGGATCACCCTGCCGGAGCCTTTCAGGGCAACAGAGCAGTGAGGGTGGCCTCCCAGCTCATGGGGGTGGCAGGCACCCTCTTTAGCCTGGGCCACCCTTCCCCAGAGGCCCCTGCAGGAGCTGCACCCCGAGGGTCCTGTGGCCGAGAAGTCATGGGCACTTGGCCCCTCCTGTTCCTTTCAGGTGAGCCCTGGTCAGAGGGCTGCTCTGTGGGAGGTCAGGTTTTGGGGTCACTGCTCAGTCACCCACCCTCAGCCAGAAAAGGGTTGGGGCCCCTGCCGGGGCTGAGCAAACCCTTCCCTTCACCCCCCAGCACGCCTGCCCTTACGAAGCCTTTGCGCCCTCCCTCTCGGTGGAGTGCGGTCCAAACACTTGCCTTGGGTGGCTGCGCCCTGCTAGCTGTCCTCCTGGGGCCAGAGCGGAGCGGAGGACAAGCCGTGCACCCCTCGGGCAGATCAAGGAGCCAAGCAGGAAGCCCCGGGGCCTGTTCTGCATCACTGACCAGGCTGGTCTGGTGGCCTCGCTCCCGCCTCCTGGCAGGTCTGGGTGCAGCTGGGGCTGGTGGGGTGACAGGTGCCCTCCCCCACCCTCTCTCCTGGTACCCAGCCCCTAACCCGCACCTGCTTGTGCCCGCTCTCTGCACCCAACC